CTCTTGTACCTCACCCACAAAGTTACCATCTTGTATGTCTCCACATACTCAGGGGTTACCGTCTAGGTGGAACACCACATACATATAATATGGCAGTTGCACTCAACATCAGCTCAATAGCATATCAGCATAATCATATATTTTCAGAAAACACATCATGCATATAACCACCCCTCCATAAGGTATGGTGGAACCAACAATGGGCAAAACCGAGAACACGAAAGCTTACCTCTCAAGCTAACAATCCAATCAAGAGTCCTCACCAGCCCGTGGTCACTAAACAGCACAATCACGATCTGTTTATATCAAGAATATTATCAATATACGTTATCTAGAAGTTCATTACATTACGACAACATTTTCTTTTTCATTTAATGACCATAGGCTTCTCCCAAAGCCCTAAGTCTTCAACATTTTAGGTTCTGACTTACTTACATCATTACAGAGGTTCATTCTATGCAATATAAGGTCTATAAACCAAACCCACGTTTCAGTTTGGACAGAATAGCTCACTCTACGAATTTCCCAGAATATTCAGATATTTCACGAGGGCATATCCGGATATTCATATCCGGATATCACAAACCCCATATCCGGATATCATATCCGAATATTTCGCGACAGAATGCCATTTTTCATTTCGCGAAGATATCCTTCCAATGTTCCATTTTTAACACTTCTACACGTCCAAGAAGGCATTTTTAGACACAATTAGGCCAGTGTTCATGTTGGTTACTTAATCATCTCATATTATATGCCAAGACTTGATCTTTAACATAGAAACTTCAAGAACAAAGTGTGAAATATACCCAAAGGCCTCAAAACAGAAACAAGGGGAGATCTTGGAGCTCTCTACTCAGCTCCAATGGTCTGCCACTCCAAGGCCACGAAATGAATCCTCAAGATAGGTCATTTCTCTCCAAAGGTAGCCTCTTGGAGCATCAACCACTAAGGAAATGGCCCTTACAACACAAGCCAAAGAACTCAGCTCACAACTTTCACCAACTCAGAAGCTCAAACTCAGCAATGAGTTACCTCACTCCTTCACAACGCTTGCTCCCACTCATCTATGATATTTTGGTGAAGGAAGTATGAAGAAAGGTGATCACTTGGGCTTTTTCTTGAAGAAGAATGAAGGTGGCAAGGTGGAGAGCAAAGGCAGCAACAAACTAACGTAGAAACTGATGGAAATCAGCCTAGGGTTTTGTGCAATTTGAATTTATATGCTCATTAAACTAATCCGTCGGTATTAGCGCTAATAGCTCCGCTAATCATTTTACTCTCAAACTTCAGATTCTTAACCTAGGCATTTTTCTAGGATTTGTCATATTTTTATTATAATTTTCGCAGCACTTTGCCGGTACGCGTTTTATACGTAGCCGGTATTAGTTCTGACGTCACTTGTCATTATTTTGACTCGAAACTTGAAATACTCGACCTAGGTATTTTTTCTAGGAATACTCATGTACTTATTATAATTTTTCGGGATACTTCATCGGTATGCATTTATACCATGAAGCAGAACCGGTATCTGCACTTTTCGTCAGAAAAGCGACTTTCAACGTTATTAAGCCCTTATAATAATTGTTTAAGTCTTCCCATATTTATTCAAGGTCAATTATGGAATTACTTCTTAAACTCATAATTAATTTATTTAAATTCCTAATTTAACGGTGCGGGTTCTTACAATAAGAGTTTTACCCAGTGAAATGAAATCTTTACGGTTGTCGATAGAAAACAAAAACTCATTCTTACTTCCTTTAAATTTTCCTTTGTCAGGGACCTTCTCAAAAGAGACAAAATCGGGTCAGCATAGTGACCCCATTAGAATATGAGTTTTGTATTTTGGTATCTTGATACTTTAATTAGGATTGTAATATTGACTTGTGGTTGTAATTGGTGAATTATGTTAAGTATATTTTGAATCTTTGAGGATCGATGGTCTGTTTTTTAATATTTTCATATAGGATATGTATATTTATATTTTTTATAAAACCGAGTCAGCGTAGTGACCCCGTGACCCCCCGGTTGAACCCATGACCCCGTGATCCCTGACCTCGGCTGGGCCGGGTTTTTAAACACTACAATCTAGCCTTGTAGGTTTGAACATTGACATCTGCATCATTATTCCCTTTGAGGATCCACTTGCACCCAATAAGAGTGATTCCTTTAGGTGGTTGAACCATGGTCTATACCTTGCTTGGATTCATTGAGTCCATTTCAGATTTAACGGCCTCAAGCCATTTTGAGGAGTCAACATCATTGGCGGCCTCTATGTAGCTACTAGGTTCATCATCTTCGACGATTTATTAATTCTCAATCACAAAGTCGTATCTCTTTGGAGATTTGAAGCTTGTGAATTTTGCTTTTGTTATTCCTTTTTTTATCATTACTTCTTGATTTTGCTTGATGCTGAATTCTTTATCTTAGTTGCTCTCAATCTTGTTATCAAAGCTCTTATATGTTGTTGCTCATGGTTTGAACTTCAATGCTCTTTATTCCTTGGTATCTTCTAAGCCCATCCTTGTTTTGGCCTCTTTGATATGTTATTAATCTTTATTCCTTGGTATCTTCTAAGCCCATCCTTGCTTTATGTTTTTTCCTCTTGATTAATATTTTTCTCGTTTTGTTGATGCATCTTTGTTATCATCAAAATATATCTTATATCTATATTCTCCTTTTCTTGTGTCTTAGTGTGCATTAAACGCAACCTATAGTCCCATCCTATCGTGGCCTTTTCAACTAATGCCTATAGTGCCAAAAAAATTATACATTTCAAAATTTAAACATTCCTCAATTTAGTGTTGATTACCATTGATATTTTTAAAATTTTACATATAAATCTTAAATAGGGAAATAATTTGTTCTTTTAAATGATATAACTTGTTTCCTTTTAGAAATTTATAACTATATACTAAGGATAATACATAGTTATAATATTAAAGTTGTACTTTTTTTCTCTCTTTAGACACTATTTGTTGACGTGAAAAATAAAAAAAGTACAACTTTAATATTATAACTATGTACTATCTTTTATACATATTTATAAATGGCTAAAAGGATATAAGTTACCTAGACAAACTCTTAACCCATCTTAATATATGTGCATAAACTTAAGGGAAAAAAAGATATTTGAAAACATAAATAAACAAGTATTTTACCACTTATAGTTTTATACATCTTGTTAATGGAAGTATAATTGTACGTGGCTGTACAAGGTACTACGCTTTTCAAAATTCACATTATAGTTTTTTTTTCGGTCATTTTTCTTATCTGCTATGGATTATTTTTTTCAAGTAATATCATCTTATTCGTGTATGGATCATCTACAAAACAAGACTATATGTGTTATCTATAATTAACTCACATGAGTACGGACCTAGTTTTATGGACTGCATGTAGTTTAAATAAAGCTAGTTACATTTTACGTTTCTTTACATTTCTTCACATCTCTATAATTCCTATTACTTGATTGATGGCCACCTGTGGAAGCTCTAGAGTTTACGGGGGAGCACTAGTAATTATATAAATATGGATAAAGTGTGTATTATTTTAAAGGATGTAAAGTTGTGTCATTTATTTACTAAAAAAAAGTTGTGTCATTTTAAGTGAGAAAAAGAGATAGATAAAGGAGGAGAGAAAATTGACAAAAAAATATAAAAGTGTAGATCTCACGTCTTTGTGATAATGAAAGGATATACGTTATGTCATTTAAAAAGAGAAATATTTTTTCCTATAAATATATATATATTAGCAACATCATGCCGTATGTAAGAGAGGAAAAGAACTATCCAATTCTTGGAAAAAAACATGCTTTCTGAGTTACGAAGTACAAGTATTTTCTTCCGCTTCTAATTCTATCATTGGGATGATACGACGGAATTTTAGGATGTAATTCAAGATTTGTTACAAGAACTTCTAAATTTATATAAAATCTTTATTACTTTAATTAAAAGGAATTTGGTGTTACATCCAGAAAAATTACTTTTGTTTAGATGATCTATTAATACCGGCACATATTATTAAAAATAAAATTAAATACAATCAGCATCATATTGCTCTATCAATCATGCCAATTCTTACATATTCCGTATGCAAGTTGTTCAGAAATGCGAAGGGAGATGATGTATAACAAATGATAGCTTGACCACGAAGCACATAAATCAATTGATAAGAAATTACTCCTAGTTTAATTAGTAAACGAGTTTGGGTCTCTCGAAATTTGAGTGTATTAAAATTTGTTGGGAAGAATTTTATTATACATGTAGTCCTACTTTATTTGAATCGAACTAATTCAATAATTAATTAACCCATAATATTAAAAAAATAAAAAAACGTTGCTCATGTAGTTCATCAATAATTGATTTAACCCATAAATATTAAAAAAAAAACCCTAAATCACGTTTGGTATAAAGGAATTTTTTTTTATCCAAGAATCACAGTTTTCAAAAATATAATGAAAAAGTAAATTTTTTAAAAATATTATCAAAAAATCATTTAGTAGGTCAAAATATTTTCGAAAATACAGAATTGATTTTGTCCGAAAAAGTCTAGGTGATATTCTTCAATAATATTTTGATTTAAAAAATACACATAAAATAAAATATTAGAAAAATTATTTTCACAATTCTTTTTTTAAAATATACTACCAAACATAAACTTGTTAGAAACTCATCTCAACTTTAATGATTTCTAGCCTCCTACTTATATATCCCATAACCTTTGTGGCTTCCAATTCTCCACGTGGCTAACACATAGCCTGGTTCTCTCTGACTCTCTTCACCGGCCAGTTGTCACCAAGGGAAGTTCACGTATTCCCAACCACACTGAATTGTCAATCTCCACGAAATCATGTCCCTGCATTTCAATCAATTAATAGTAGTCGGGCATGATTAACCGTTATAAAAAAGTGGTATCATGATTCATTCTACGTAACGTTGCATCACATCAAACAATAGTTTTTGGATTTTGTCAAAATGCCATTATTTTATTTATTTGTTTAAGGAAACCCAATAATTCTCTCAGTTAAAAATTGAAGAGGTCAGCGTGGGGACTATGGCTTCTCATACTTTGAGTTTGCCAACAGCGCATATTCCTTCCAATAGGCTAATTCAGAAGCTTGGTTCTATCTTTGATGCCAGGGCGTTGTTGTGGCCGTCACGTGTTCACACAAAACCCAGAAGAATTTCTACCTCAATCCGGGTAATGGGGTCCTCTGCTTCTTCTTCCCAGTCCCAGCAAGCAGATAGCATTGAATTTGAAGCAGGTATAGATTATTTAATTGTAATTTGGTTCTGTTCAGTTTAGTTGAGAGCTGTGTTGAACGAGTTACTTGATGAAAGAGAATCCCAGTTTTCTCTTGAGCTATTAGCAGGATATTTATTGTTAATCTTTGGGTGTTACTATTAGTTTTCAGAAAAATTGTTTATTGTGGGAATTGGTATGATAAAACTTGTTCCACTAAGTATTCTATTGCTCTCAGCCTCTCACTAAATATAATACATGCTATGTTGCATCTGGTGGTGGAGTCATGGAGGAAATAGGACAGGCGATGGCACCCCTAAAGTTTATCAAATCTTTTACTTAAATTATATTTAGCCTCAAAGAAAAGGGTTCAATTTTTATTATGTTGTTGAAAAAAAATGTCTAGTACATAGTTATAATGATAATTTTTTTTTGTTTTTTGCGACATCAGCCGATAATCAATGAAAAAAAAAATACAGCTTTAATATTATAACTGTATTTTAATACATAATTATTATTTTTACTGACAGATTTTCTTTTCTAGCATCATATAAGAAAATGACTTCACTAAAGAAATTAGTGTACTGTAAATTCTCCACCCTTCATTTTAATTCTTTCTCATGTACAATGAAATTCTTCAAATCTATCAACCAACAACTATATTGTCCTTTAGTGTGAATTAAAATTTCCTTGCCCTTTCTCATTAAATTTTCTGGCTCTGCCATTGGTTGCATCCTGTGCTTGTTTTTGGTATGTATATTTAGGTAGAGTTTAGATAGCTGTAACACATAAAAAGGAACACTTTTTTTATCAAGTTGACACAATTTGGTGGGGTGTACTTGTTGATGATGATAGTAGTGAAGGTTTGTTTTCTAGAGTTTAATAGTTTCCTCAATATACTTATTGGCCTCTCCTCCACTTGCTAATGATCTTACCCACTATAATTCACTAGACTAGAAGTATACATCTTGACTTGTTGTGATTGTGATTTTGACTATAATTCATAATTGTTGTGATTTTGACTTGTGATTGGGCCTCCAACTACATCTTTCTGTGCCTTCAGGAGAAGGTAATGTTGATTACAAATCCTTAAGCAATGAAGAGTGGAAGAAGCGGCTAACAAGTGAACAATTCTATATTACTCGTCAAAAGGGGACTGAGAGAGCTTTCACAGGGTATGTTATTGAATTGTTATGGCCTTTTGACTTTCTTGATCCCCTGAATTACTGACTTCTCTTGATCTCAATTTAATTGGGGTTTATAGCTATGTGCCTATGTTCAGTTAACAACACTTTTATTACAAGAAAGAACCTAATGTTGCATACTTGATAAAGAAACTTAGGTACTTTTGGTTTAAAACAGCTTTCTAATTCCCACCATTTTGCTTCACATTACATCATATATTATACTGTATGTTGGAGATTTCACGTTCAAGAGTTGTTTATGGTATTTTTATTTGTGATTAATGCCTCACTTAAAAGATTGAATATTGAATCCACCTCATTGAAGGGGCGATTGCCTCCTCGATGAATCGAGTTCATCAAAGATTTGTCTTAGACTACATTCATACTTGAAAGAAAGATATTGTAGCATAAGTTTGCCCTCTTTTATTCTTATTATTCTTCATGTACAAAAAAAAACTTGGAGAGTTCTTCAAAATTGGTTACGTAATGACACCATTATCATGTTGTCCTGTTTAAGATAGTATGAATTTTGCTTTTCTCGCTTCCTCTTACAAAATTTTCTGGCTCAGCCATTGTTCCCCATAATTTTGTGTGGTTCGGGCCTCAGCGTCATTGTTGATTATTTTGTTATGTAAACTTCAAAATTTCTGGTCTTCAAATGATATCTGCATTTTGGTTATCATTTATTGATCTGCAGTCTTAATGGAGCTGATTAGATATATAGGTAGGTTTTATTCTCATGCCACTGCTGTATTTATTAACTTTATTTTTTTATTTTTTTTAAATTCATTCTAGGGAGTACTCGAATACCAAAACTTCAGGAACTTACAATTGCATATGTTGTGACACACCTTTATTTGAGTAAGTTACTTTACTTTATTACACTCAAATATTATACCATTGCATATGTTGTGACATACCTTCATTTTCTTACCCTTACCTCAATCATAGTTGAATTGATTCACTTATTTTGTCTTTTCAAGATCATCTACTAAGTTCAATAGTGGAACTGGCTGGCCATCCTATTACCAGCCAATTGGGAACAATGTGAAGTCAAAGTTAGATTTGTCAATTATATTCATGCCTCGCCAGGAAGTTCTTTGTGATGTTTGTGATGCTCATTTGGGACATGTGTTTGATGATGGTCCTCCACCCACAGGAAAGCGTTACTGTATCAACAGGTAAATAATTACTTGGAACTGTGTAACTTTTTCAATCACACATGTTCACCTTTGTCCAGAAGTTTATGTTTGATATGGAATTCCTGCAGTGCTGCCCTTAAGCTCAAACCAGAGCAATAAATAGGAACTTTAAGTCAGAAGGAGATGGTGTAACATAAGGGATGGTGAGAAGCTTGTAAATGATCAGCATGTCATATACTTTGCCCTGTTTTTCATACTTACGGAGAAAATTGTCTTGTACTGGTAGTGTATCCAAACGCTAATAAAATGTCCAGAAGCATATGATAACTATGGTGAAAATTCGGCTTTGTTTGATTGTGTTCTGGTTTTTTTGTTCTTAAAACAGTTTTGTAGAATAGTAATTGAAGCAGTTGTTTTCTATACTTTATTTGTTTTGAAAGTTAAAAACAAAAACAGAAAACAAAAACAACCCAGACATGTTCTCTAAATTTGATCTTAAAAACAAAAAAACAGTTACAAATTTTTATTTTTATTTTACAAAACAGGCATTACTAAACGAGTTTTTTTGTTCTGAAAATCAAAAAATTATTTTTGAAAACAGTTCTCATATTAATTAACTTTTGAGTGTTGGTGCGTTGTTGTGAACATTTCAAACTTACCATTGTTTCATATGGTTAAGATTTTGAATTTGAACCGGCCGGTTTAATCTGTGCAAGAGTTTGTAAATTGTTTCTTGATTTTACTCATTTTGAGATTTCTATCCTTGACAAAAGTGAATAAATAAATAAAACGCGATTCTAACCATCAACGTAGAAAGGGTCCTTCTAATTGCATTCACTGAAAATGAAGAAACTAAATATAATTACTGACGAGGGACAAAACTAAGTTTTAGCAACACACCAAGGTCCCATATCATGCAAAATAGAGATTTTTTGGGTAGAAAATATGATAATAAAGATAGGTTATTTTGTGTACCAGCAAAAAGAGAGCATATTTTAATACTCTGGCTCAGAATCAAATGTTTCCTTTATCACAGAGGGAAATACTTTTAAGAAAATAAAATTAGAGGAGAGGGTTGAAAACATTGATTGTGAGTGTCGGGCACAAGGATTCGCTTTGACATTTAATTTACTCTTGTTCGGAGGTGAACAGAAATGTCTAATTGAAAAGCTAATAATTATATCTACAAAGATGAGACTAGGATAGCTGGCAATGAGACACAATATTCCAAACCAATGATTCGATGGTATATAGGGCTTAAGAACACTCAAGAATGCAATGTGTTGAAGATGATCCCCTGTGGGGGAATATAGATAGACACATACACACACGCACACACACACACATATGCTTCTAAGGACAGTTATGGTGATGGAAAGTGGCCCTAGAGTTGTTATCTCTCAGGTGGTGATCGTGGGTGCAGCTCGGTGCCAGGCATACCTGTCTCCTGTCCTGGATCCTCCCCGGAACATAAGTCCCCCCAACTCGGGGCGTAACTCCGAGGTGAATGCCTAACACTTACCTGTCTACTGAGCAAGATTGATGGGTGGTACCTGTACATCTCTCTTGATGTCGTCTCATCACCCTTTTCTCGACTGTTGGTGCCACGGGTGGAAATTCCTTCGGTACGATAGAAATGCGGGGTCAGGAAAAATAATCATTTTAAAAAGGTTTGAAACGAGATTGAAAAGACACGTCTGCCCTTGTCTCTTCATTTTTTCTATTCACTTGATTAAATCTCTGTTCGCATTTTCCCTATCTTCTCCTTTCAACTTCCATTTTTTCTTCTACTCTTCTCAATGCTCTCTAGTGTGATTCTCTTCTCCTAACTTTCTCCTTTAATCTGCAAGTTTCCTCAACGAAGCCCTAGCGTTTGAGTTCAGTGGTTTTCATCATCTTGGAAGGATGCCTGATATGCCTCCAACTTGATATATATTAAGGGTTAAAAGGAGCATGAATTTAATCCAAATGTAACCAAAAGACATGAGAATTATGATTTAATGCACTCTCAGGAGTATTCTCATAAGAATTCTTGTGTTTTGTAGGAATTTTGACCTACTGGAAGCTGGACAAGTTAGAGAGCTCAAAACAAAGGGAGAAAAATAAAAAGAAAGCTTATGTTCAGACACGCTAGAAGCGCCACAAGTGATTAAGTCTTCTGTTTCACCGTGCTAAAAGCACCTCTTATGCGCTAGCAGCACCAACCACACCAAAGCTCCCTGCCTCTTGGCGCTAGCAGCACCAACATCTCAAGACTCCACACGCCATTAGCACATGGTTGACGCCAGTAGCTACAAATTGATAAACAACCCCTATTTCATGGCGCTAGTAACGCCAAATCAGCACTACCAATGTAATAGTCTGTCGTACACCGGTATGTGTTAACATTGATTATGATGTTAAGCGCAGTTACAATCACAACAGTTAATTCAAAAATACGAAAAAAACTTTTTCTTTTTCATGACGTATGCAATTTAAAACAACTGTAAAATATTATGGTACAAACTATGATCACAACTAAAATCTAAACGTGAAAGTAGAATATTAATTTCCTAATTATCATACAACTCTTATTTTAGGTTGCTAAGAGGTTCCCATACTTTGCAAAAAACTCATTTTTACAACTTTCCTAAAACTGAACACCCTTCTGTTTTCTCAAAACTGGGCGTGATCCACTAATAATTAATTTCTCATCTTTTATTATGTTAAACTAGACTCTTTTACCTTTCCAATAAGGTATCACACGCCTCATTTGGAGTTCTCTTGCTCCGGTTATAACCGTTTGAAATTAGACAAACAAAGCTGCCAACTAACTCCAAACAGGGCGTCAAACATCCCTCACCATTTCTGCAATTCCCAACTTTTTAATCAATCAAATTCTCTCAAATTTTTATACAGAATACTAGACACCTTGATCTTCAATTTGGTATATCATAAGCCTAATTTGTGTGAAAATTGAGGGATATACAATTCTTCAAAGAGGGGACCCGAGACAGCCCTTTTATCGATTCAATTTGGGGAATCTTCACTCCTTTCGACCTAAAGAATGCTATAAAACTCTAATGGAACCAAATTTTGGGACAATATAGATAACATCTTAGGCTTTAAAATCGTTTATGGCACGTCCCATTTGGACATTTGTGGAAGGAGATATGGTCGATGTGTGACCTAGTGGTTCACCAAAGAAACTTTATATAAAGTGAGGTTAAATCACTTTAATATACTTGTAGAAACCTACAAACAAGCTTCCATCATTCATCACATAATCAAACCATTTCTTACATTATTTCATTATTTTCCCCAATATGGCCGATTGGCATTTGTAAAGGAAACATAAGCTTTTCACATCTCTTTTCACAAATTCATGTTCCATTTAACTTCCAAGACTATTTAATTTGAGATGGTTGAATGACCTCATTGAATGTCTCAAGGATTCTTTTCAAACTTCAACTTGTTTTCACCACTAATATCATAATCAAAGTTACATAATCTATACTGAATTATCTTCAAACATAAGAACTACATGATTTTCTCATGAAATGGTCGAATCTTTATATGGAAATTAGGTCATCCAATTAAAAGTTTTCAAGATCATTTTTGGTAGTTTTACATCATCAATCAACATCAAGACCTAAACATCATCATTCTCCAACATAAAAGATCATAAAAACTCCATGAAAGTTCATCAAACTCAAGGAAGACCTAATCTTAAATCATGAAATTTAACCATGGAAATTAATGTTTCATACCTTGAATAGGTTCACAAAGACTTAGAGATCAACTTCCAACCTTGAACCATGAAAATAACTCATCTTCTTCACTAAGACAACAAGTAGGTCGAAGCATAAAGGAAGAATATCTCACTCAAATTAGCCCCTCTCCATGATCTAAAGCATAGGTTATGATCACAAGATCATAAGCTTCAAGTTTTGTGAAATAGACTTAGTGCAAAAGTGGCTAGAAATTGGAGAACCAAGCTTGCCCTTTTTCTATGGCGGTGTTCGGCCAAGATGGAGAAGAAAGAAAGACAAGTGAACCGCATGAGAAAGAGGAAAGAAAGAGAGCATAGACCGACTAATATGAGAAGAAATAAGGAAGCTTAAGTGTTAAGAAATATACTAGTCGACTTTCATTGATTATAACCATTTTTATTGGCTAATAATTTCTTCAACTTTGAATCGTTTTTATTAATTTTTCTAAACATAATTAGTTTAAGTTAAGACCACTAAAAATATGAAAATTTGCTAAAGAATTTAATTACATCATCAAAATCAAGTTTAAGCCAATTTTTGCCTAATTGCAAAATGGTCCCTAAACTTTCACATATTTATACTCTGAACCACAAACTTTTCTAATAATATCATTTGGGTACTCACCGACTTGTTTGGCATGAATTGCATCATGATCCTCATAATCATGTCAATCACATGATTTACTCATCAAAACTTGCATCAAAACTTACATAACTCAGAATTCGCAAAACTCACTAATCATCTTATATTTTCAGAACTTACTAGTGTGGTGCATTATATGGTGCATTCAAGACTGTGATAGAATGGATAAGAGGTAAGCATTTGAATTCAAATTCAAACAAGAATGTAAGACACTACAACACTATATAAGGATAAGAAGGCTGTGAAAATCGAGGGATATGCATATATCCTCTCAAATCCTAAAATCCATCAATCAAATCTAAGCTTCATGACAAATCCAAGTTATATTCGGATGCTAATTCTGAGAGAATTCCAATTCGAAAGATACCTAGTACCCAAGTCAACACTCTTCTATAAATAGAGAAGCCCATTCGCATCCAAACTATGGTAGGAAGAACACAGTTGATTGAAGATATTTGAATACTTTGTTGAGATAAATCTAATGGGTCAAGGGATGAAGCTAGTGTCTAATAAAGGAATCATTGATATAGTTGATCCTTGCACTTTTCTAGAAGCTTAGAGATGATGGAGAGTGGCAGCGCTTGGAGTTATTGCTTAAGCAGAGCTACAACAACACTTCCGTTTATTTTATTTTACTTTTATTGAGTCTTCTTCTTTCTTTTGTGTTTCTTTATTTCAAATATGATCTAAATTGTTTAGGATTGGATGATAGAGTACTCATTGTAATGTAACCATAGATGCCTAAACTTTGATATGATATTTTTTCATTAGTTGATTAATAAAGTATTTATTTCTTAATCTTGTTGACTTACTAGGAAAGTGCTGCAAGTGTTATTGGGTTTCGGTTATAGGAATGTAGGTTAACCCATAACCTTATTAAACAATGTCGATTAACTACAACATCACATAGCCATAAGGAACCTGAACTTGATGAATTCAATAATCAGTTTCGCATAGGGGAAT